CTGCCCTGAGGCAGATGCCCCAAGGACAGACCCATCTGGGGTCACATGCCCATTAGGGTTCTCAGAGGGTGGGAACCTCGGAGCCCTGGTCCTGGGCTTGGAGCAACTGGGGAATTCTCCCTGGGATCAACTTCCCTTTGCATCTATCACTAAACCCACCATTAACAGTAGTTTATGGGAGGGGGGATACGCATTTCTATTTCCAGAATTCGTGATTAGGACGCGTAACTTAGAAAAAAAGATGCTAAGTATCCCATGTCCTGAAGAGCCACAGTTGGAGCTCAGTGCCCTCCCCGAGGACAGCATGACACTTGAAGCAACCCTGCGACCAGCCACCCTTCCCTGTTCCAGTCCACAAAGGGTGAGGGAAGAGAGAGGGAGAGTGGGAATCCCTGCATTGCTTCCTCTCCTCCTCCTTGCAGCTGGAGAAGCTGGGAAACTCCTGGAGAACTGCCCCTGGAGATCTAGGCCAGCTGCTGGCCGGACACCTCATTTGGCCTTCAGAAGTCTGTGAGGTAGCAGGCTTGCTGACCAGCGTCTCCCCAGTGAGGCAGGGAGAGGTGGGGAGAGGCAGAGCCAAGACAGGAGGCACTGAGGGTCAACCTCCTCCAGGGAAATGAGATGTGAGTTCCCCAGGGGTGAATGGGCACCACAGAGGCAAACGAGGCCTGAACCCTCAAAACCACAGGCAGCCTCCTGAGAAGGAAGCGGACATGGGGTAGGGCGGTGTGGGGAGGTGTGGAAGAGGTCAAGCCAGGGCTGACTGTCCCATGGAAAGGCCCTGTGCATTGGGGAGGCCCCCACTCTAGGACCTGACATGGGCCCCACTCCAAGAGCCAGCACTGGGGCACCTGCCTCCACTGGGAACAGAGGAAGACCTATTTTCTGCTAAGGAGCTCTTACCAGTTTCCTCTCCCTCCTCCACTACCCATCCCTTGGAAGAGCTGAGTCCCATGAAAACCCAGGGGACGTGGTCTCAGAGCCTGCTGGGACCCTGCTCTCCAGCCAGCAGTCACATGCCCGCTCAAGGGGGTGTTGGGGCAGCAGGGAGGGTTGGGGAGCAGGATCTAAATCGAGCTGGAGATTGAGGTTTGGTAATGGGCAGAACCGAGCTTGTAAAGAAGGGAAGTGGCCAGGAAGTTGTCATAAGGGATCCAGAGCACTGTGGAAAGAAGGTGCAAAAAATAGTGAGCCCAGAGGACACATTTTACCTTTGTCCCCAGGGCCCTGAGGTTCCTCACAGGGGGGGGCTGACTACCCTCGCTGAGCTCTCAAGCACCTGGAAGCCTCAGTCACCAGAGATGCAGCTTCCAGTTGGTGGGGGAGGGAGCGTTGAGTGCTCACGGGAGGGAAGATATATTCTTGCTGCATCACAAACGTGGTCTACCAGAAGCCATGGGACAATGTAGAAATTGCAAATTTTTAATCCATATGGAGAAGAAAACACAGAGATAATTTATGTTGTGATAGTCACTGGAGTTCACTAAGTATTTCTAATTCTACTCTGGGTACTTACCAGCTGTCTTGGAGTTAGGTGGGAACCATGTGGTTTGCTTTTAGTCAATGACATGTGGGCCGAGTGACATGCCACTTCCAGATGGAAGCTTTAGGAACCAGAGTACAATTTACCACGTGTCCCCCACCTCCCCGTTTTCTGCCACCACCATGGTGGAGGATGGAGCCTCCCTTAGCTTGGGTCCCTGAGTGAAGACAAGAAGGAGGAGCGCCCCCTGCTGACGTCTTATGGATAGGTTGCAGGAATGAGAAGAACTCCTTTGGGATTGAAGCCTTGGGGGCTGTGGGTGTCTGGTACTGCCGTTGATGGTGGTCTCTCCTGATTCCTGTGAGTAGGCGAACAGTGTGCCCGTCACCCAGTGAAGAGACCACATGTAAGTATGCAGCCTCTCCACCATCAAGTGTGTGGACGATCAGGGTTGGCCCGGTGGGGTATGCCACAACCAGACCCCCCTGCAAGGGGACCTTCCTGGTGTGTCCCTTGTTTAAGGGAAAGGGGCGGTGCAGGTGGGGGAAGGACTGAGGCCGCCCTGGTGAGGTACTGGCTGGGGATGACGTGGAAGAGTAGAAGGAATTGGCCAGAGCTCTCACCCAGATTTGCTAAGAAATAACAGGAGAAACCTGTGTCACGGATTTTGCACCCCATTCAGAGGGCAGGCATGCAAGTAAGGCCGGGAGCGTTCTCTGTGTGGATTCATGGAAGTCACGCAAGGGGGGGGAGTGGTCCAGGCTGCAGGGAGGAGGGCTGGAGTTCATGGCACTGCACAGAAAAGGTCAGGTTTCCCCAGTCCCCACCTGCACAATGGAACAGAAGGCCAGTGCCACAGAGCAGAAGATGGGCGTGCTGAGAAGGTCTGCAACCACGCTTGTGGCCTTGGGGGTCATTCAGGAACTTGGGAGCAAACGGCCAGGTGACCAGCCTGGCTCTCTCTGGTTTTTTTCCTATAAGGCATGGGTACTGCCCGCTTCCCCTCTTCCCTGAGTCCCCTAGAGAACCAGGGGTGTATACCAGCCTATAGGTCCCTCTCCAGATGGCAGCACAGGCCCAGCGACACCCCTCTCCTCACATCCTAACTAAAAATGTCCTCACTCTTTCCCTCCCCTCAGAGGTTAGGTGTGGCTCAGGAACGTCTTGGCGAAGGAAGAAACAGGATGGGTCTATCTTTTCCTTGACTGCTACTGATAATGGTCCTCCTGTCTTTGCGGAAAGCAGAGAAAGGCTGAACAGGGCGGCAGGTGGGCCCCGCACTCATGCATGAGCTCAGACTCGTCCTCTCCTATACCAGGTTGGGCGTCTCTGCCGGAGGCTTGGTCTGCCCTAAGTCTCCCACTGACGTCCCACATGGGCAGATGACTCCCCTTTTTCTCTCCCCCAAATCCCTGAAGCCTATGGGAGGCTTCAGCAAACCAGGGGGCTTTTACTGAGACTCTAAACACCTCAGAGTAAAACACACTCAGAGCTGAATGCAACCACGTGGGCCCCCAGGGGGTGGGGGGAGAATTGGGGGAGAGGGGAGAGGCTGCTGTTCTAGCGCCTCAAGGAGGGCAGCCAGGAGTGGGCAGGAAAGCTGCGGGTGATGCCACCAGCAAGTCACTGAACTCCCGAGTGTGAAATGGAGAGAAAGACGCTTCTCGCTGGGCTGTCGGGATAAACAGGATAGGGCACGTAAACAGCGCGCTGGAGCCGGGGGTGAGCCTGGTGTCAGCACTAAACCCACATGATGACATGCACGGGTGACCCTCTTTCCCAGGAGCACTTAGCTGCATAAAAGGGTAGGGGAGGGTTTTTAAGAGGAATTACCTTCTTTCTGTTTGCTGGCAAAGAACCGAAGGGCAGAGTGTGGCAGAGGAAATTCTGGAGAAGGTTCTTGGAGGGTGGTGGAGAAGCCATTTTGAGGGACAAGCCTGCCCCTTTGTGTGGGGAGGGGAGGAAAGGAAGAGGTGCCAGAACATCTAGAGCCTCCCCTTGGCTGCCAGTCGAAGCCCCCTAGCAATGGGGACCAGGCAAGCAGACTCAACCTGAGTAGGTTCCCCAGAGATGGAATGAACCCCTTTGGGCCTCTGCACCCTGTCTACAGCTGCTTCCTACCTGGGGTCCTGAGACCGGAAGTATGGCTGATGTCCCCAACCCCTCCAGCCTGAAGCCATGGATTGGGCTTCCACCCCCACCCCTGCCCCCACAGCACGGCCTACAACACTGCCGACCTTCCGGTGATGGTTTTGGGGAGGGTGGGCAGCTGTACAAAGATGTACAAACATGGGAGATGAAGGCCAAAGGGATCAATGTCCTCATAGCAAAGCAGGCCGACACCTCTCAGCCACTTCAGACTTCCCTTCTCATCTGACAACTCACACTTCTTAGAATCAGAGCACACCAGGGAAAGCCACCAATCTTTTAAGAAAAAGAAACCCTTCCATGAGGGGAAGCCGCCCAAAGAAAGAGGCAAGAGCTACCAAGGTTTACTCATTTTTATTTTTTATAAAACAAGCTACAAATACCTCCCTCTGTCCTCACAAAGGCAAGCCACACAACACAGCCCACACGTGTGAGAGAGAAGATCCAGGGTTGGGGAGGAGGAGTTCTGAATTTCCACAGGGGGGCGCCCTCTCTGTGTTTTCATTCTTCCTCCAGGCCCCGAGAAAGGGGCTGGGGCCTCTGGAAGGTCCATCCTGCTCTAGCGCACTGTGTCATCTGTCCAGGCCAATGCTGGGGGCGAGGGTTGGGGGAGGCGTTCCCTTTCCTCCTTACCACGTTGGGATGGGGCCTCCAGCCACCCCTGAGACAACCTCTCGGACTTGCTCAAGAACCTTCTCTAGCATGAGGCCCCCACCAGAGCATGTCCTGAGGAGGCTGTGCTGACCCCCAACTCCACCCTGGGCACTCCCTGAGGAGGGCCTTGAGTGGGCCCGTGCTTCTGGTGCCAATGCCTTCCAGACCGGAAATGGATACATTGTCTGCTGAGGTGGGTGCACTTATGGGAATGCTGGGTGGGATACAAGATGAGGCCAGAGTTCCAGGACCAATCTGCTAGGGGCACTGGTCCTGGGCCACCTGTCCTCCTTCGATGCTGCCACGGCTGCTCATGGGAAGAGACACTCAGTGTCACTTGTTGCTGTCTAATGGCTGTCTGAATGGGCACGGCCACCGGGCAGAGGAAGGCTGGTCAGGCTGCCGTGGAATCCCAGAAACATGTCTGTGGAAGGTGAGGCCTGGATATCCCCCTAGCTGGGTTATCAGCCCTACACTTCCAAGGGGGACAGAAGTTGAAGGCCCAGGATCAGTTTTGCTCTGGAATTGGCCTTGAGCCTAGAAGCCCTTAGGAGCATTTGAGGGAGAAGGAAAAAATCTCAGTATTGGGTTAAAAAACAAATAAACCACTGAGTCAACAACAAGATGACCAGTTGAGCTCCTCCCTTAGGCTTGTCATCACCATTGAGGACAGAATGGCCTGGGAGATACAGAGTGGAGATGAAGACCCCGTCTGACCCCACTGCTGAGAGGGCCAGTCTTGGGAAACCTTGCTTGTGCATTTGCAGGGGGCTGGCAGCGCACTCATCAGTGATGACCTCTGTCCTCTTTCCTCCATGGCTTAAACATCAAACATCTACCAAATAGAAGGCCCCACTGTCTCTTTTTCTTCTTTGCCTCCCTTCTCGTGCTTTACAGAGTAGACATTAACACGGGCAAAAATGTTTCAAAGGACCTAATGCAAATCATCTGGGGATCATTTGCTCAGTGGGTCACGAGGATCCTGGCATACCCACGGATGGATTCTGTTCTGGGCCTCCTGAGGGTCTGGAGAGCAGGACCATGTGGGGATGTGAGAACGGGTGCCTGGGCTGGCTAATGCCCTCCCTCCAGGGGGCATCTCCATCTGTCCCCCAACCCAACCTCCCTTAAGAAGGCCAAGTGCCCAGTGACCTGCCAGATCTGACAGCTAAAGCAAGGGCAGGACCCTCCTCCCCCGAGAAAAGAACCAACAGAGTCTACAATATCATCGTAGGGCTCCCGTCTTTATGCACACAGGGGTTGGCCTCCAAATGGAATCCAGGTGGGCTGGGGATATAGTCCTGGGGTCTAGAAATCGGGGCCATGTGTCCACAGCCCGCACAAGGAGGGCAGGAAGAGGGAGGGGAATGAACAAACAGCAATGCCAACGCCTGTACAAAAGAACTATACAATTTACATATATATTTATGTACAGTATATAAATCTCTTTCTTCTCAGTCCCAACAACAAACACCCACCCGCCCACCCTCCCCACAACAAAACCCCTCAAAGTTGTCAGTAGCAAATCCAAAAACTTACAATAAGAGAGAGAATAAACAGTCTTTTTCCCTTTCCTTTTCCCACTGGTATTAGATACTGGTGTTTAAAAATGAAACCCAAAAGAAAACACGCAAATCAGAGTTATTGAAAGTGCAAACACGGTGGGCACCACTTATGTCACACGGGATGCGGCGGGCCAGGGGAGCTGGGGAAGTTTTGGTGTAGGGTGGTCCGTCCTGCCTCCCTGGTCTCTCCACCTGCCCTTTGGTTTTCTGCTCCTTAGATGAGGCGTCCTACTGGGAAAGGGAAACAGAAGCAAGAGGTCAGAGGCGGGCTAACCACACACATTCATTTCCTCACAAGAGCAGCCTGTTAGAGACAGGCTGGGCAGGACGCAGGGAGCCTAGACTTACAGGTAAGCCCGCGTTTTACCAACCCAACCTTTGCCCCCATGGAGCACCACTGTGACCCCTGAAGCAAGTCTGGCATTCCAGAGAATGGGGCCTTGCCCAGGAAGCACGGCTGGGGGAATGCAGCCCCCATGGGCCATCTGACTCCCAGACACTAGCTGTTCAACCTGGGAGAGGGCAGGTGTGGCTTTATACTCAGGGATGGCGGATCCTTGTAGAACGAACCAATCTTTCCCTGTGTCCCCAGCAAACAAAAATGGAAAATGGGAGCCTAGATAACTTGGCCAGCTCCTCCACTCGGGCCAGACTACCAGTGCTGCATTTAGGGGGCCCACGGAGGGGACCCCAGAAAGAAGGCAACTTACTGAATGGGTTTGGACCGGCTCATTTTCCCTGGGGGACGCTGCTGAGATTACCACCTGCAACAAACAGGAACATATGACACTCAGGGGACCTTGACCCAGAGAACTGGTGGGGCGGGGCTTCCTCTGTGCCTGGGTGGCTGTCTGCTCCAGCCCCTGGAATGAAGAATGGACTTAGGAGAGAGAGATTGTGTGGCCGTGCTTCGTGTTCTGTGGGTGTTGTCCCTCTTCTGCCTGGGTGAAGCCACCACTGACCAGCACCTTTAAACAAAGTCCCTTTTCCATAAGGCCAGGCCCTCACGGGAGCGCCTCTCTGAAATCCCCCAGCTATTAGCTAAGAAGGGCTTTGATGCCAATGGACATTTGCATAACCTTCCTGGGTCCCGGTTCTCCATGTCACAGAACATCAGGGATGGAGGGAATCTTAGTGACCATCTGGTCCCGCCCCTTCACCCAGCAAATCTGGAAACTGAGGCTTGGAGCAATTGCATGAGTTAACCAAGGCCCAAGCCTCACTCTGCTAACACCCACTCTGCCCCATAGGGTGCTGATGGGTCTTGAGGGCTCCTGTAGGGCCCAGGGCTCCTTGAGGAGGAGTGGGAGCTGGGCCAGCTCCGCGTGACCCCAGGAGGCTGCGTGACATTGCGCACGTACCATAACCCCACTGGGCCGGTCTACAGAATGGGAATTGGGGCCACAGCTGTGCCGCAGGGCTTCCTTGAGGACGGACTAAATTCATAAAGTGGAGAAAGGGCTTTGAAGAGCGTGAGGTACTGCGGGAACCCACACCCACCCATGGGCCATGCGGACCCACAGCTCAACGCTCCCCTCTCCCTGTTACGCTAACATTCCTAAGACCTGAGAGCAACAGAACCCCAGTTGGAGGGTGGGCCGGGGGCAGAAACTGAGATGTCCGATTTTACAGATGAGGAAATGAGCCTGGGAAGAGAGTGATGGGCTGGGGGACCAGCAGGTGGGCAGTGACAGAATCCCACCTGACTCAGAATCCCATCATTCATCTGCTCTGTACAGTGGCAGCTTCTGTCAGTTGACAGCAGGAAGATTCACAGAAATCTTCACAGAAGATTCACAGAAAGAGAGAGGTAGGGGGAGGTGTCTTAGTTGAGCCACGGGGCCAAGCAGAGACTTGGGGAAAGGAAACACCCGCTGGGGAGGACCCAGCCCTCGCTTGGAGAGGCTTAAGGCACGAATCCTTTACCTAGTCATTTACCCTGCGGGGCAACTTTATATGATAGTTACAAAATGATCCAATCATCCCCATGTTATGATGGGGGCACTGAGGGGAGATGGCGTAGCTTTTATGTGTGAAGTGAACTCAGGCCTGGCTCTGCCCTCCCAGCACCACGCTCTTAGGGGCACGGGGGTGTGGGGGAGGAAAGGCCGGAACCCGGGGCATCCTTGGGCAATGCCAAAGGAGGGCTGGGATGTTTCACAAATGCAGGAACTAGTCTCCAGTCTGCCTGCCTCATGTGATGGTGCCCATCACCCTGACGAAGACGGTTTATTCGCTGGGGAGGACAAGCCAAGAAAGAAGGCCCGGCCCTCAGAACGTTTGACCCCTCATGCCGTGCCGACAGCTCGGCCCCCAGTGCACAGTCTGCTGAGTAAAACTACCAGTGTTCACGAGGCATTTCCAGAAAATGTGGTCTCTGAGACCCAAAGCGACACTCCGTTCCTAAACTGCCTGTGCTCCCCCAGCCCCCTGGAGCCCCCCACCGGGCCTGCAAGCCCCTCTCAGCCCACCAGAGGGCACCGCGTGTCACCAGATGGCCAATGCTGGGCTCAGGCCCCACAAAACCTTCTACTCAAGCGGATTTTCTGCCACTCCCCAGAGCAGAGGGCCCCAGGGAAGCTGCCTTCGGCCCGTGGCGCGCTCCTCTACTACTACCGGTTTCTTCTGTGCGTTCACCACAGACTGGGTTACTGGGCTAAGTGCCTCACAGGCACCATCTTGTTAAATCTTCACACCAAATCTATGAGGTAGATGCTATCACCTCCATTCTACAGACAAGGAGGCCAGAGAGTTTAGATGACTTGCCAGAAATTATAGGGCTAGCGAGTGGCAGAGCCGGGATTTAAAAGCCAGGTCTGTCCGACTCCAGAGTTTCTGTTTTTCATCCACAGCCCCAGCCCCGGCCTCCCCTATGCCTCCCATTAATGGCCCTTTCTCTGGCAGGAGAAAGCACTCTGGGGGCCTCCCTGGGCAACCTCACACGAAAGCCTCGGCCGAGTCTGGGTGAGGAGGAGCAGGGCTCCCTAAGTATCACATCCCAGGGGACAGTTCTCCTGGGTGCTCCCCTCAGGTCCTAGGCAGCAGCCAGCGTTGGCAGACCCTGGCATCTGGCAAGGCTTCCGAGAAAGGCCCGGAAGCCCCGCTCTGCTCTGCAGACAAGAGGTCCCCTCCCTCGGCCTCTCCTTGGCTTCTGTGTGGTGCGTAGACTAGAGGGTACTGAGGGCAGAGTCATTACAGACTCCTGTGAGTCCGTACCCCCTCGGTCCCTCCATGCTCCTGGGGCTGGGCTCCACACTAACACTGGGTGGGATCCTCCAGTACTGACCCCTGCCCGTGCTCTGGGAGATGAGCGCAGACTCCAAGCTTTGCTAGAGCAGGTGGCCCCCTCACCCATGAGGTCATTGGGCAGATAGGAACGGAAGGATGCCACGCCTGGTGCTAGCGGGGACACTGGGAAGACCGCGCTACAGGGTGGGGATGCGGCTTCCCCAGGCAATAATGGTAAGAACAGGAATGTTGAACTTGTATCCCGTTCCTTCACTGTCCCAGGGGCTGGATAAATGCTTCCACTCACTGTCCCACTGAATCAGCACAATAATCCTATGGGGTAAATACCCTGGTTATGCCCATTGTACAGATGAAGAAACTCAAAGCCAGAACAGTTGTGTGGTTCGTATACGGTGAAGGAGCGAGTCTGTAGCTGAGGCAGGGTTTGAGGCATGGCATTGCCCTGCGTCCTGGGGGAACACACAGAGCCTCCTCGATCACACAGGAGGGGCCGGAGCAACGAGCTCATTCCTCCAGGGTCATAGGCCCCAGAGGCAGGGCCAGAACCAGCTGTGGAGTGGGGGGTCCCAAGACAGGGTCCCTAGTGGTCATTCATCCACTTCCTGGGCTACCCATTGGGTTCAATGTCAACTGAGGATTAGTGCCAGGGAAAGCCCTTATGTTTTCTCCCTGGGCAAGCTCAGCTTTATCAAAGCTTCCACTTCAAATAAATTGGTATGACCCGCCCAGACCCCTCACCTGCACTAGAGAACCACCCATCCTTCAGGTGCATCCAACTTGACATGTCCAGACCATACTGGTTATCTCCCCACTGCCCCACGTGCTCTGCTCCTCCTTCCAAGTCACCCAACTCCGTGAACAGACACCCCCCTCCAATTGCCCGAGCCCACCTCCATCCCTCTATCCACTTGGTCACCAGAACCACAGCTCGAGCTATCTCGAATCCACTCGCTTCACCCCTGCTGTGCCTCTGTCATCTCCCGCCACAGCCTCCGGTGGGTGCCTTGCTCATCTGCAAACCCATTTCCTGCACTGCAGCCTGAATGATTTTTTATTTTCTTTTTATTTTTTTTAATATTTTATTTATTTACTTGACAGCAGAAATCACAAGTAGGCAGAGATGTAGGCAGAAAGAGAGAGGAAGAGGAAGCGGGCTCCCTGCAGAGCAGAGAGCCCGATTCGGGGCTTGATCCTAGGACCCTGAGATCATGATCTGAGCCGAAGGCAGAGGCTTTAACCCACTGAGCCACCCAGGTGCCCCCTGAATAATTTTTTAAAGCAAAACCCATCCAGTCATTTCTCTGCCCGAGCCCCTGTGACAGCTCTCCGCGTTATGAAGTTGAGACTCCCCGCTTGCCTCCTTTCAGCCCTTGGCTGCTGCCACGTTCAAATACTCATTTCAGCCCCACTAACATCTTCCTCTACAACCAGTCCTTGCCTCCACGCCTGCACCCTTCAATTGCCATAGCTGAGAACCCCTGCCCCCCACTGATGCGCTGGCTCGGCCATCTTGTACCCGTGGCTCGGGTATCGGTCTAGACCAGGGCTCAGCAAACTTATCTGTCAAGGACTAGGTAGTAGATATTTTAGGCTTTGTGGGCCAAGTGGAGGCTGTCATTTGTTCTACTTTGTTGAAAATTACATCCCTTTAAAAATATAAAAACCACCCTTAGCTCGCAGGCCATATAAAAATAGGCCACGGACTAGATGGGGCCCCAGGGCCATGGCTGGTTTGGACATCACTTCCTGCACCAGGTTTTCCAAGGCTGTCCGCCCCTGAGCTAATTTAAGTGCTCCTACACGTGTTCCTACAATACTCCACACTTGTTCTATCATGACAGAGATGATTAGGTTTCCACCCAAATCCGTGTTCTCCTCCTCTTCCTGGGCTCCCAGCCTTCCTTACTGTGGGGTGTGGCCTGGTAGCCGTTCCAACCCCGGGGATAGGAGAGGGGATGTGTCACTTCAGGACTGGCCCATAAAACTCCCCCACGGGCACGTGCGCTGCTCTGTGCTTGACTCCCTCTGACCAACTGGGAATGGAAATGACCCCCCACGGTGACCTGGAAGCCCATAATAAAAATGACGAATCATTCTCGGCCAAGATCTCAGAGCGAGTGCACAGAACAGTCTCCATTCCTATCTGTCCTCCTGGAAACACACACACACACACCCCATGACCCAGAATCACATGCTGAACTATCGCATGGGCAAGATGAACAAGTTTCTCCTGTGTTGAACCATTACATGCGTGGGTCTGCTTGTTACGCAGCCTGGCTTAATCGAACGCACTCTCCCGGCACTCAGCACAATGTCTGTAAATACGTTCCTATCTATCTCCTTGGTAGACCGTGGGAGGACAAGGATTTTGCCTGTGGACTCCCTCACTGCCCCAGGCATCTCCCCAGAGCCCCCTCTATGGGGGGAGCCCCCGGTCCCTTTGCCCCCATGGGCCAAGTTCTGGAAGGCCAGAAGCCTGGGAGCGAGCACTCACCTTCTTTGCTAACACCCAGGCAGCCCTTCAGCTCGGGCAGCGAGATGACCTTGTCCTTGTTCAGGTCGCAGTAGTCAGTGAAGCGCCGGGCGCACTTCTTGGGCTTGGCTTTCTTCTTCACGTAGCGCTTGAAGGGCTTCATCTCGCGCTTGTTGATGTCGTTGCTGCTGTTGCTGTCCAGTCGGCTGAAGTACCAGTGCACCACTCGCTCCTCCAGGGTGTGGCTGGGGTCCGGTTCTGCAAACCTGGGCCACAGGCAGACCCCCGCCCCACCCCGAGATCCCCGCTCAGCATCCTGCTGGAGCCACCCGCCCTGCCGCAGGTGTCTCCCACAAGGTCAGATGCCAGGGTCCTTGTGCTGCACTGCCTGTGGCCAGGGAGAAATGGCTCCCCCGAGCCAAAGACCCCCCAGCCCCACTCAGCCAGCAGCAGGATGGAGCTGTCCTCTCCTGCTTGACTCTCAAGACTGGACACTTTATTTTTCCAGGGTACCCAAGCACGTCCCTCTTATTACATCAGCCTGTCTCACCCTCTACCATAGCCAGGAGTGTTCCTGTACAAGATGGGGGCTCCGGATACACTGGTTAGATTTAATTCACCCAAGTAAAATGCATTTGGCATCCAAGATGTCCTCCTGGCCTGGGGTTCTCTGCAGGACAAGCTGCTGTTCCCATAGGAACATGAACACTCAGTAATCGGGACTATGATTGAGCACGTGCACATACCCAACACCAGGCCAGGTTCTGGGACAAACGACCCTGGCCTCAAACTCCTCAGCATCTTGTTGGGACAGAACCCAATATGCTGACACCAGGCAGTGACGACTCGGTGTAAAGCTCCCAGGGCCCGATCCTGTCAGGCACCAAGTACGGTAGGAACTGGAGAGAAGGCAGTTGTGATGGACACAGACAGAGGTTCTGAACATGGCAAGTCCCAGACCTGCTAGGGGTGTGTCTCTCCACGCAGAGGTTTTAAGACTGGAGGTCTGGGATGGACCTGGGAAACCAAAGGTATACTAGAACCCCTGGAGATTTTGCTTAGGAGTACTAGACTATAGGAACCAAGAAGGCTTCCTGAGGTCAAGGTGCACAGTAATGACCACACATCTAACACCGTCCTGTCTACACAGCACATAAAGTGGAAAGATCAGTGTTTTTATGTGTAACAGTTCACACGCCCTACCCATCCATTTGATTTACTTATGCCATTCAGGATGCTAGCTAATATTTAAAACTTTTAGAGCCAATGACAAGCCTGTTCCAGAGGGGATGACTGTAGCTTCTGCTCCCAGGGCTTGGCACTGAGTAAATATGGCTCAGGCCCTTGTGTTCAAAATCCTGGGCACCTTTCCCTTTGTAGCAGGGAGGAAGGATCAGGTTGGGAGGCCAATACCTTCAAGTTGTCTGCAGAGCCCTGAGCGGAACTACAGCTCTGCCGTGGATCAGAAATGGAGGCGGCGGGGGTCAATGTCACACAGGGATCCCAGACCAGGGGCTCTGGGCTGCCAGCACATTCTGAAACCGTATCTGGCAAGAAAAATATCCTAGGCACTTGCCAATACCTTGGGGTTCTTCCCTGGGGTTTCCTGAGTTTTCCAGAAGGGAGGAGACCATCTCTGACCCCACCCTTACAGACAAGCCAGCAAACTCTTTCCCTTTCCCACCCCCAGGTGACCTCAACATTTAGGGGAAAAAAAGTTTCATTACCACAAAAAGCCAGGCATTCCTGCTAAATGCCCGTTGCTAATTAACTGGATTGCAGTCCCAGGCCGGCACCCCTGGGCATCCTGGGCTGATTCCCAGACAGCACAATTATCGCATCTGCCAGAGGAATGTCAGCCCCATGGGTTTAATGCAGGGAGTACCTGGCAAGGTGCAAGGCACTATCCTCCCCTGGCTCTTTGGGGATCTACCTGGTCTGTCATGGCTCAGAAGGTCTTCAAAACAGACATGGAGTTACTCGTTGTGGAACTCAGATTTTTGTTTCTGTTGGCACGTGGTATTTTGGCGTTTTAAAACTTCCTTTACTTTACCCACCATATTCACTCTCAAGCCTGCAGGGCAGACCAGGTGAGCAGCGGAAAATTCTCTCTCAAGATGTTCAAGGCACAGGAAGGAGGGTGGCTAGCTCCATCTTGAGCACCCTGCCTGCCTGTGTTCCCCGAAATGTGAGGGAGGCACCCGGGCTGCGGAGGAGAGCCAGGACGAACCCTAAGGGAGGCACTCCTGCATTCCCACGGAGCGCTCTCTGTGGGCCCCTCCAGCCAGGGATCATGGGAGCCCTGTGGCGGCAAAGGCAGCTCTTTCTTTAACCTTTAGGCTCCGCATAGCACATAGCGTCATGTCTACCTAGAGGCTGGAATAATAAAGCCTCAGTCGCTGAGCCGGGAAGGGATGAGGTCATCCCGCCCAGCCGCCCTGCCAGGAGAGGCCCGCTGCCTCCAACACATGCTGCTGGGGCTCCCGCCTGTCTGCTTCTCAAGGACTGCACCGAGGGAGCTCCCCCACCTTCCTTTGGGCCGGTCCACGCAAGAAGCAGCTCTTTGCCCCACTTTACAACCTCTGGGAGTTTCCTCCCACACGGAGTGATAATCCTTGGGCTCCTGCTCCCCCTTCTTTCCTTTTCTTCTGACTCTCTCTCCCTGCCCTGTCACCCTTGTCGGCTTGGTCCTGCCCTCCTCACTCCCCCAGCATCTTGTAGCCATGACCCCTGGCTTGACCTGGCCCTGGAGGCTCTGAGGATGCTCGCTTCCCAGGAGGAAGTCCTTTGAGGCCCCTTCAAGCAGTGCCTCTGGGTCCCTTGACCCTGTCACACCCTCAGCCTGTCCTGTGGGCCCTGAGGGGCACCCCTCTTCCTCATTCCTCATTCCAGCTTGCCTAGGGCTCCCTGCTTCTGAACTCCTCTGACTTCCAGAAACCCACATCCCATCCCCACTGCTGATCACAGAGCCCAGCTCTACGTGTGACACTGACAGCTCTAGGGTCCTACTTTGGAACCCAGTGCTTTACCCTGGCCAAACTCTAAGTGTATTTAAAACAAGAATTTCTTAGCTTTGAGGGATCACGGACCCTTTTGAGAACCTAAACAAAGCTATGGTCTTCTCTGGAAAAATGAATATGCACGTAGCACTCTGCTGACTGGACTCCCTAAACCTCATCCAAGCTCATGGACTCAGCTGAAGAACCCTTGATCTAGAGGGAAGGAGACTGCAGCCATGGCCCTGGAAGAATGTTTAACCATAAGTCTTCTGGAAGAAGAGGGGGCGAGACAAAGGACAGTGGCTGGACGGGCTTGGAAGCTGTTTCCAACAAATATTTCCAACAAAACATAATGGAAAACTACTGAAGGTATTTAGTCTAAAACTCTGAAAACCAGGTTCCTGGGTTTACAACAGCTTTAAGTCCATACCATGCATCATACAAAATCAAGTCAAGACTGAGATGGGTCAGGAGTCCGGGTTTGGTCAAACCGGCAGTGGGCATGCATGTGCAAAAGAGCCAAAGAGAGGCCTCAGTTAGCTAAGGAGAAGCTGAGAATTTCCCAGGGGAGTTGTGGCTGGGTGGGGCAAAAGGGCCTCCCCTAGAGTTTCCAGAAACGTCTCAGTCTTATTAGAGTCCCTTCCATCACAGTTAAGATTCCCCCAAACTTATCGTTGACCTCAAAGCCATACCCCACTGATCCCTCCAGCTCTTGCAGCCTTCCAGAAATATCCTCTGAAAACACTGGCAGCTTGCACTCCTAGCTCCAGGCTGACTTACACTGGCACCAAACCTCCAACCGTTCTCTCCCATATGTGCACACAGCTGCCCCTAGAGATCAGAGTTGCTGGATTTCAAATCTGCTCATCAGGTGACGGCTGGGGACCCTGCACCAGAGGCCGAGACGGTTCCTTACATCACTCCACGTTGGTGGTCCGTGCCACCGGCCTCCCTGCAGGGGAGGCTCTACTTTACTGAAAGGGTTCATTGCGTGTGTAGAGTTATCCAAGCTTCCTTGGATATGGTATGGAAAGTCACACCCACAGGATACCAAATTCCAGATTTTGGAAAAACAAATCCTAAGACTGGTGGCAGCTCTGTCTCTGAGCTGTTTGGGTGGCTGTCCTGTTGACTCCCACCTCCATGGATGAGGGAACCCACTCGAGCCAGGCGCCTCCCTGGTCTGGCCCCATTGAGTTGTCTCCCGAATGGAGAGGGGACAGGTGCTGCCCTTGTCCTGCAATGCTTTCAGTTTTGCTTCTGCAGCCTCACCCTGCCAGGCCTGCCTTGGCAGCAACGCACAGCTGGAGAGCCAGACCCATTCGCCCCAAGAAAACTTGCTTTGGCCAACATCTCAGGCCTTGCTCTGCTGTCCCAAGCAGTTTTAAAGAAGGTGAGGCGGGACGGCTTGGAAGCACTAGCCAAGCCAAGCAGACCAACTGAGCCCCATCTGGAGAGGGGTCTGGACCCTGCCAGCTGTGTGGGCGGGTGGGGCTGGGAAATGCCAAGTCAGCCACATTCCAGCCTCTTCCTTGCAAGGCCATTGACAAGTAGCTGCGCTGGGCAGGAAGGAGGGAGCCACTGTGCGCAGGGTCTCACCTTAGGGGACCACCAGAAGGCTCACACAGCCCATCCCACCTCCCCTCAAAGTTGACTTTCTCTAGGGCGTGATGGAGAAAGGGGAGGGTTTCCCTGCTCGAGAAGAGTCTGCCAGCTGGGATCTCAGAACTCTTCCTTGGGGTCTGGTAAATGTTAATGGGCACCACGGGGAGGGCAGATCTAAGGGGCAGCTCTCCCTCTGGAGCCCCAGTGGGAAGGACCACGAGGATAATTCAATCATCCCCAAACCTTCACTGAGAACTGCCAGCCTTCAATGACACTTGCCGGCCACCCCTCCCGGCACTGACCGCAGATGGTTCCGTGGACACCCCATTCCACTCTGCTTATTCTCAGATTTGGGCAGTACCACTCCCCCACCCAAAGTCGGTCTGGAAGGCCAGAAAAGGAAGCAGCTATCTCCCCTCCCTGCCGTGTCCTATAACTAACAAATCATCTTGAAATCGGATTAATTTCGCTGCTAAAGCTTCAGCGAACCATCCCCTCCCCCAGAGCTGTAGTGCGGCCTCTCCTCACCTGTCCCTCCCGATGACGGCTGTAACCTTCCCCACTCCATCTTGCTCCCTTCCCATCCAGCATCCCCAGAGCCTTCAGGATGATTCTTCCAACATGCTCACCTAAATCATGGGCGTCGTGCTGCCCTTGGCATGAATCCCAAGGCCCGGCATGATCTGGCCTCTGCCCAAATCTACAGCCTCACCTTTTGCCTGCCTCCCAGATGTAAGCCATACTTCTCACGGCTCCCTGCACAGGCCCCACCTCACGGCTCTTAGGGCCCCTCTGCCCCAGTCCCTCTAGGTTGGGCATTTCCCCTTCACACTGAGGATGTGGCTCAAATGTCATCTCTCTGAAGCCTCCCCTCACAGGCCCTCCCACCCCCAAGTCCCTGAGGCACTTTCCCGTCCTCTGTTGCCCCGCTGAGTTCATAGTGCAGTGACGGGATTGCATACCTCTTCTCTCAACAAGACCGAAGCTCCTCAGGCCACGGACTTTGCCTCTGTCCCTGTTTGCCCATAGAATCCCACACAGAGCTTACACCAGGGAAGGGCAGAGATGTAATGGTTCGTACAAAGCCCGAATCTCTAGACCCAACAGGTGGTAGGTTGGGGAGAAGATAGGACTTCTCTGTCCCCTCTTTCCACTGGCCCCAGCAAATGTCCAGCCTTAATTACCAGACCCTGAGAGGAGGGAGGAGGGATCAGATGTGTCTTCCTTGACTTCAGTCTCCTATGCCTATAGTCCCAATGTTGCCCAAACCCAGGGCCAAGGCCAGAACCCAGGCAGCCTGGATTCCCAGCTTCTCTTCCATAGTCCTATTCCAGATGTGCTGCCCAACCTTCAGCTGCTCTGTGCCTTGGTGCTTTCTTCATACAAGGGTGCCTATCTAGGGTCCATCCACACAGTGCCCCAAGTCTCTGGGGCCTGCGCAGGGTGCCATAGGGCCCTGGTGACAAAGGAGGGCCATGGTGAATGATGGCTACGGTTGGCCTCATGATGAGTCTTGCAGCAGGTGGTGAACCCTCTGATATGTAGGATAAAAAGGGTACCTTCAGCTGCTTATTCGTTCAACAGATATTTTATTGGGCATCTACTATGTGCCAAGGACTATTCCAAGTGCTAGGAACACAGCAGGGAAGAATGCAGCCCATGTTCCTTCTCCACAGAACTTAGATTTTCATTCAGTAGGGGTGAGACAGACAATAAATAAACCAGCAAAATGTCAGCTAGTGTACGTGCTCGGCTGAGAAATTAAATGGGTGTGGAGATAGAAGGTGACCGACAGCCCCTTTAGACTGGCTGTTTGCTAAGAGGGTGACATTTAAATGGATAGTCGGGGCTGGTCACAGAAAGATGGGGCCTGATACTCCAGGCTGAAGCAGTAGTTGGCATGGCGGCCCGGGGGGCAGGCAGGAACCCGGAGGGTTCAGGTTCAAGGTCTATTGGAGGTACTGAGAAGGACAGCGGCTGGAGCACAATGAAGGGAGGGAGGACATGGCCAGTGAGACCCTCCTGCAGGGCCAGTTCAGGTCAGAGCTCAAACTTGCCCAAAATATAGTGAGAGACCATGGAGGACTTGAAACCCAGGAAGTGGCCTCCTGTACAAGTGCTTCTCTCTCCTTCATCCTGCGTCCCCCTGCCCCCGCCTAGATTTCTAGACGATTTCTTGGTTCCCCTTGCCCGTATTTTGATTATGAATACAGCCTCTAAGTAACACAATTCCCCATGTGGTTCAAACTTTTCAAAACCCATCAAAACCAAACACGGTCTGGCGTAATAGGAGCTTAAAATGGAAAACATGTTTAGGAAAGAATGTTTTTTAATCTTTTCCCAAGTCTGTATCTGTATTACACCTTAAAGAGAGGGTTTTTCCAAAGAAAAAAGAAAATCTCTTCCCTAAAGACACATGGATATTAAAAACTGTGATTAAAAACATCATACACTTCTTAGTTTTTATTTTCTGCAAAGATCCCTTTGGCCTGCAATTTGAGGGCAAGGCATCAAGTCCTGATGTCCCCTGGCCAGGGGCCCCTGCCTGTGGCCTCAGCCCCTTGTGGGTCCCTTACCCGCTGGCCCAGGACCCATTCAGTTCTGGCACTTCCCTAGTGCCCTCAGTCCGCCTGGAGCCCAGGCCAGACCATGCTCAAGGGGCGGGCTCCCAAGAAGCAAGTGGGATGCACTTGAAGAAATCTTGCCTCCTCAGGAGCGCTGTGGAAACACAGGCAGGCTCCCCAAGTGGCCGGTCAGGATCGCCAGCTCCAGGGGGCTGTGGGGGCAAAGCACCTAGACCTGGACTTCTGAAGCCCATGCCCCCTCCTGGGTACTTTTTCCACTCTCTTCTAATAAACACAAGTATCTCATCCCCATTCTTGCCTGAAACAACAGGTATTCCAAGCATAAATCACCACGGCATGGACTACTAAATAAGCTTTCACCATCTCCTCCCACCGACCCTTCTCGGAAGTCTGGCTATACAGTTCTCTCCACCATAGCTGCTCAATGGTCGAGCGCCTGCAGCTGCCCCCAAGAAGCCCCCATCCGCCAGCCTGTCAGCCCCTCTCCATCGTCTCAGACATAGGGCTGGGCCTCCTGGGGAGGCTGATCCCATCCACAGGGTGTGTTAAACCAGAAACCAACCCGAGAGCTCACAGGCCCGTGCGGCTGCTGAGAGTGAGTGTGCTGGGCTGGCAGCTTCAGAGAGGCACCCAGGAGGCGGCAAGCTCTGCATTCATTTGGACATGACCTAACCTTGCGCTTCCTGGTCAGCTGTCCACACCTGCCTCAGATGGCAGCATCACGGACAGCCCTGTTCCCCTGCGCCGGACACATGCCCTGTGGTTCTGTGGCTCGCTGGCCAGGCAGCCATGCCAGGGCCTCTTATGGGCCTGGGCCTGTCACCATGCGGGCACTCCTTGCCTTGCTGACGACAGCTCTGCCTCTGGGCAGATGTGGAGGGACTTGCCCCGCCCTCCCTCGGTGAGCCTCGGAGCCCAGAGGCAGGCTGCCCATCCCTGCCGAGTCTGGCTACTTCTTCCACTGCTGAACCCCCTCCACATTCATCCCCTGTTGTGCCTCCTCTCTGGCTTCCTAGCTCCTGACTGTCCCTTCTGTCTCATCTGTTGCCACTCTCCTCTCCTCCTCACCCTGTCCTCCCTGGCCCAGGCCTCCTGGACTATGGATACTCTCTTTCTTGGAGCCCCATTATTCTTTCCTTTTTCCTGGGATGACTCTCCTTCTTTTGCTGGCTCAGTCCTACTTGTCCATCAAGATTCAGCCCAGCTATCACCTCCAGGAAGCCTTTCTGATTCTTCCAGACTGAGTTGGCAAATCCTTCTCTGTTCTTCCACCTCATTTCTCATACTTAGGATGCAATTTGCAAATATCTATCTATAGCCTAGGGTGCCCACCAAGCTGCAAACTTTAAAGACAGAAACATGCCTCACATCCTGCATTCTCAGGCCTTAGACCAGTGCTTGGCATGCTGTGTACGTTCACCAGGTGCTGAATGGACAGATGGGTGGGTGGATGGATGGATGGGTGGGTGGATGGATGGATGGATGGGTGGGTGGGTGGATGGATGGATGGGTGGGTGGATGGATGGATGGATGGATGGATAGGTGGATGGATGGATGGATGGATAGATGGGTGGATGGATGGATGGATAGGTGGATGGGTGGATGGATGGATAGATGGGTGGGTGGATGGATGGATGGATGGATGGATGGATGGATGAGTGGATGGATGGGTGGATGGATGGGTGGGTGGGTGGATGATGGAAAAATAGATGGATGGATGGATGGATGAGTGGATGGATGGGTGGGTTGGTGGATGGGTGGATGGATGGGTGGGTGGATGGATGGATGGATGGATAGGTGGATGGATGGATGGATGGGTGGATGGAGGGATGGATGGATAGATGGGTGGATGGATGGGTGGGTGGATAGATGGATGGATGGATGGATAGGTGGATGGATGGGTGAGTGGATGGATGGGTGGATGGATGGATGGATAGGTGGATGGATGGATGGGTGATAGATGGGTGGATGGATGGATGGGTGGATGGATGGGTGGGTGGGGGGATGATGGATGGATGGATGGATGGGTGGGTGGATGCATGGGTGGATGGATGGGTGGATATGGATGGATGATGGGTGGGAGGGTGGGTCGGTGTGTGGATGGATGGGTGGTTGGATGGAAGGATGGATGGATGGATGGATGGATGTGTACTCCAACCACTGGCCTAATGGGCTAATGAGTGAGTGCTGGGATGCTGGTCACGGTGCATGTGTGCATTTCAGCCTCATTTAGGACTGCCTCCGCCTACATATCGTCTTCTGAACTAGGATGGATTTGGGTATGCAATGTCCAACCTCCCAGCTGGAGCCCTTGGGATTTTCAGGAAGTCAAAAAACCTCATGATTCCTGCCTTCTCGGAAGAGAAGAAACTCACTAAGTGCTCTGTCCGTCCTTTCTGCTCCCGTTACATACCCTCCTCCTTCCTGCGACTGAGCACTCTCACCCCAATGCATCCACTCCTGAGACTAAGGTGCTGGAAGTCTCCAGACACCCTGAGCTTGCCTGTCATCAGGTAACTAAAAGGCAGAAGCAAGCAAGTCCCAAAGAACCGGGAGGAGAGAGGATCCCAAGATCTTTGGCAGAAGGTGGGACAGGCCCCTGCCCTGCCTAGCCCCTCCCCGCTTCTGAAAAGTCAGGGACACACCTCCCCGGCGGGGCCTGAGTCCTGCTCACATTCTCACCTCCCACCTCCAGTAGGCGCTGCTGAGTTAATGGCCTGCACCATGTCAGTGGTGAGAGCATCCAGGAGGCTGGTGATAAATTCCATCTTCTTCCCTTCTGGACAGCCTGAAAGATTGAGTGAGATGTGAAGGCAGCTGCCAGGTGAGTAATCAAGCAAACAGTTTCTTCAACTGCCACCATTTCCCAAACCTCTCCAGGTCTTCTTGCCCGGCCAAATCCACTCTGGGAGCTATTTAAGGCTCAGATGAGTCTCATAAACCCCCAGAGTTCCTCCACCCACCACCCACAAGGGACCGGCAGAACAAATGGAAAACCATGCTTTCACTTTTCTTCCATTCCACAAATTTTTGCTGAGTATCAGCTGAGGCGCTATGTCAAATGTTAGGGATTGGGTACACAAGGTCCCTATCCGCCCAAGTTCAGAGTCTGCTGGGAACGCCAGCTAGCTCGGGGAGAGTCTGACCAGGTGGTCACGCGAGAGCGTCAGAAACACTGCTCTCCCGAGAACGAGCAGGTGCTGAGGGGACACAAGGGACGGAGACATCCCCCAGTGGTCGGAGGTGACTCAAGTAGCCCTATCAGTTTATCTGTCCAAGAACCATCTCCTTTCTTCACTTCTGTCTCATCCAGCTTAGATGATGATAAAACCTCCCTTCCTTTGTTTCTTGTTTGTTCCATTGCTTGGTTTCAGCAAAACCCCAGTCTCTCCCCCATGCATTAGCTCCGCTGGTGTGAACAACCAGATAGGTGGGCGTCCTTGTATATTCACGACTGCTGGCCCCCACTGGGCCCTACGATCATTCCCACAACCCTCCTCTCTGCGGTGACAGCTCTGTCTTCCCTCCAGCAACCCACCCGGTCTCTGGTGAACCTCTACCAAGAAGCCCCGGGCCCAGAACCACAGTCTCCCTTCATGTCTCACGGCTCGCTGCTCTTCCCCTTCAGAGCACCTGCCACGGCTCTTTATACCAGCTTGTATTCATTTATTTGTATCTGTTTCCTCGGCTGTGGGAGCCCCGTGCTGTTCAGAGCCCTTGATCTCACCCTCATGCCCGGCACATGGTGGAATCTCAGTTCACACTGTTGAGGGGGTACCCGAAGCGGGTACTCTGGCCTCTATGACTCCAATCTCTCGGGACAGGCTGGTTTTCACAACAGGACTTTCAGGAGCTTCTGCTTTCAGTTTTCAAGGTGGAGTCCTCACGGGGAGGGGGCCCAGCTCCCCTCAGCGCAGGTCCGAGTCTGTGCTTGCTAAAGACTACCCTGTTCCAAGCCACCAATATTTAGTGACCTTCCTGTCACCCGCTGGCAGAGCACACTGTTAAATATGAAAAACCCCTCACAGCAGCCAGCTGGAGGCTCTGGGCCCCCTTCCCGCGCGTCTTGTGTCACATGCCAGTGACAGTCCTGTGCCACTGGGATGATTGTGAAAGCACAGTACTGGGCTGGCCACGGACACTGCCCATGCCCCTCAGGACAGCCCCTCCCTGAAAGTTCTCCTCTCAGCCCCTGGAACACTGTCCCAATCACCCCCGGATGGACAAAGAATTACAGGATCGCAAGGACACGATTTTAACCCAATGGCTACGTTATGAAGATAAAAGCTAAGAGCAAGGAGGAGGAGCAAATTGCTCAAGGGCACCGGTGTCCTTAGCGACAAATCCCAGCCTGGATGCAGGTCCCAGGGCTCCTGGGAGGCTTTGCCCCACACCCCTCTCCCCATGCCATCCTACAAAAGGGGAGACAGAGCCAGAGCAGAGGAAGGAGATGCTTGGGCATGATGGGAGGTGGAGGAATAGGAAGAGGGGAGGGCATCAGCAAGGGGCAGCCGTGTCTCCCACCTGGCAGCTCCCTGTCCTTGAAGGGATCGTCCACCTCCGCACTCTTGGCCCTGGCATCGCTCTCACAACTGGGCATCACGTAGCTGGGAAGAGAGACACGGGAGTGGGGGGAGGGGTGAGGAGGGGCCCCGAACGGAGCCCGCTGGAGCCACCGCTAGCCGCAACCATCCTGCTGCCACTAAGCCTAAAACTCCCAGGGCAGGCTGCGGATTATCTCCTGTGCTGTCCAGCAGCTGCCCAATCCCGGTAGCCATGTTCCCACAGAGACATGTTGGGGCCTGTCCCCAGTTGTCACTCAAGCAGAGCGATGTCACCTTGTGTCTGCATGCAGGACTTTTGGGATCTGCAGAACCTGGGGACTTAGGCAGGTCCTTAACCTCCTCCCCAGTGCCCTGAGGTTCCAACCTGCTTTTCCAAGGTCACCCAGCTAGGAAGGAATAGAACTGTGACCAGAACCCAGGACACAGTGCAGAAACATTCTCCTAGTGCCTTGATTCCCACCGGGTCAGGCAAGCAGGGAAATGTGAAGCTAGCCTAACAGCAAGCTGCTGCTCCTCCCCCCGGGGTCCATCTCAGGGACTGGACAGGCTCCGGGTGTGTGGGGTGGGGAGGGCTTACCGCGTGGAGGTCCCGGGCAGCGGGCGCCCCGTGTCCACCAACACACACCAGCAGTAGCCAGTGGACTGGTGGCATTGCACAGGCTTGTAGAGCCCCCCGGGGGCGCACTCGGGGATGACAATGCCCTCCCGGGGATTCTGCCTGGCCTCTTCCAGGGCGCTCTGCCTCTCCTGGTCACATGAATGGACTCTCTCTGCAAGAGAAGAGGCAGCCTGTGGTGACTCGCACTCTTGGAGCTTATCATCGCTGCTTTCCCAGCAAGTATCCGGCCTGGCCCCAAGCAACAAATGGCTGGGGAATCACCCGGCAGAGAGCTGTGGCTCCCGCGTGGGCCTTGCACCGGCCCCCACGGTGGGGGTGGGGATGGGAGTGGGGCTTTGGAGGCCCAGAACCTCCCCAAAGCCTCTCCACTGCCAGGGTTCGTCAGCGCTCACACGAAGTTGGAGAAGCTGCTTCCAGCAGGGCCACAAGCCCGCTGGGGGCTGTAAGGCCACTCCTTATCTGAACAGCAGTTTGCCCTGGGGGTGGAATTCCTGACTGTTTTCAGAGTGGTTCCCGCGGAGGCTCCTCCCCTGGCTCTGGGAGAGGCGGAGGTGCAGAAGCCTAACCCCTGAGAGCTGAGGAGCGGACGCAGGAATGCCTGTGTGTGCGGACACTCTCCCAAGCCCAGACCCAGCAGGACTGAGCCACGGCCGCCAGCCTCAGGGGAGCGACGCTCAGCGCCCAACAGGATTAGAAGTATAGCCCAAGGGACGCCTGGGTGGCTCAGTGGGTTAAGCCACTGTCTTCGGCTCAGGTCATGATCTCAGGGTCCTGGGATCGAGCCCCGCATCGGGCTCTCTGCTCAGCAGGGAGCCTGCTTCCTCCTCTCTCTCTGCCTGCCTCTCTGCCTGCTTGCGATCTCTCTCTGTCAAATAAATAAATAAAATCTTAAAAAAAAAAAAAAAATCTTTATAAAAAAGAAGTATAGCCCAAGCCCACTCCTTCCCAGGTTCCAACAGGGCTGGGCAAAGTAGGCTCCACAGGCCCGAGGCCATGACACGGTGCTGCTCTATCCAGTGGGAAAGAAAGCCGCCCACAGGAAGTGTCTGTGCTCAGCGGCTGCAGGCAGCCCGTGAACACGTCTGTACAGCCAAACCCGGATTCCCCGAGCCCGGCCCAGGCTGTGTGTGGTGCCTCGAGCCAGGTCCCTGGCCTGAAAACCCCACCCACCAGTCTATGACCTGCCTGATGTCCTTTTCCTGTTGGGTGGTTCTTGTATTTTCATTTGTCTTGTTGTTATTAAAAAATAAATAGCATTGGGTTTCTTTTCTTGGTATAAAAAAAAATTGTGAAAACCCCAGAATCCCACGGAAATTAAACACTGCCTGCCCTAGACCTCTGTCATGCACCTACGACATGAAAAAATACATATGCCCACATCCACTTGGTTTTTTTAAAATTATAAAAGGGGTCACATCATAAACCTGAACTATTACTCTCTTTTGTCTATTTCTTTATTATATCTTTCTTTCTTTCACGAACGTGATGCCACAGCTTTCCTCTTGAAGATGACAGGAATAGTCTTGGGCATCCCATGAAATGTTAACAGTGTGTTAATAAAAATAAAAATAAAAAAAATACAGTTCTTCGAGCCAGGAAGCCGGTATCAGCAGCCTGGAGGCTCACGGAACTCATGAAGAACCCAAACCGTCCAAGTCACAGCCGCTGAACTCAACAGGAGCCCAACCTTTGAACCGCAGCTCCATCAGTAACCCATGGATGAGCGGCGCAGGTGTTTCAACAAAGCAGGTGCACGCGGCACCGCGAAGCAGTCCCACGCGGTCTCCGGGAAAAGTCACACAATGGGCAAAAGATTCCGCTCCCAGAAAAAACATGGAAAAGCGACAGCCCCATGATTCTCGTTGTTGTGGGGGTGGGGGAGGGAATGTCTGCTTAGTGCCATAAAGACATCTCAGGGTGAGGAAGCAGGTGAGCAGAACACATTCACAATTAAAATATAATTTTGAATTTGGAAAATGAAAAAAAAAAAACTACTACTGTTCTTATAAAGTAAATACAGCACAACTAAACAGAACTCCCATGGCTAGAGGAACAGGATTCTGCAAGAGTGGACAGACTCCAGAGGAGGGATCCTGAACCTAATTAGAACTACCAGCGGAAAACCTAAAAAAAAAAGATTTTATTTATTTATTTGACTCTAGAGGCAGCTCAAATAAGAGACAGAAATTGATGAGTAAGAGACAGAAATTGATGGGTTTACTGGAGACATAAAGTTGGCTTAACGGCCCAGAATCCTGCCTTGGGCCCCTGCCTTGGATGATGCAAGAGTTTTTCAAGAGCTCCCACAATCCCAGTTTGGTTACCTTACTTCCCGACCTCATATTTCATGCCCTGAGAAAGGCGACGGAGGAGCAAAACCAAAGGAAAACAGCTTTTTACTGGCACCATGTTCATGCAACAACCCCGACAGAGGCTTTAAATTAAGATCCTCTGGGCCAACATTCTAAAGCCATAAATCAGCCCAAAAGCGAGAGGCAGAGAGAGTGGGGGTTGGGGGGGAAGCTTCCCGAGAGGCAGGGAGAACGATCACCTGACTTCACAACATTAGGGATCCCGAAACTGCAGAAATGAGGAGAGAAGCCATCTAAGAGGAGGCAGCATCCCATGATTTGGGGGCTGTCGACAGACTTCTGGAAGTCCTTGAAGGCTGCCCTGAACTGTGTGCTGCCAGCCTCCACAGAAGCTGCATGGAGTTCGATAGAGAATTAAAAACCACACAAGGGACACATCTTGCTAATTTGGAAACATGGGCCTGGCGTGGAATTAGAGAGAAGGCTATGTCTAGGGGTGATGGCCTGTTGGCACATTCGCTTGCTACTTTAGGACAGGCCCTGAAAATTCCAGATGCCTCTCTAAGAAAGAGATAGGAGAAGTTTATAATAATAATCACCTAACCATTTCTGAAGAGTACCCAGAAAATTTATCTTCCAAAAGAGATCTCCTTTAAGACCATCTTTTTTTTTTTTTTAAAGATTTTATTTATTTATTTGACAGACAGAGATCACAAGTACGCAGAGAGGCAGGCAGGGGGTGGGGCAAGCAGGCTCCCCACCACACAGAGAGCCCGATGCGGGGCTCGATTCCAGGACCCTGGGATCATGACCTGAGCTGAAGGCAGAGGCTTTAACCCACTGAGCCACCCAGGTGCCCCAAGACCATCTTTATATGAATAACAGTCAAAGCAAATATTCGTTGAGTAGTACGTGCCTGGTGATAGACAAAGGGCTTTGCTTGCTTACTCTCTTTGTCCATCTGAGGGGGGCACTAGGACTATGTCCATTTTGTAGACTGAGCTGAGCTTTGGGGGGATTCATGAATTTTCCCAAGTGCACTCAGCCAGAGAGGATTGAGGAGAGAGCTGGGACCCCAGTCAAGGGCTTCTGACAGTTGAGCCTGTCTTGCTAAATTTTAGACACAGGTTGCTGCTTCTAATCATTTGCTCTGGGAGAAAAATGAATTTATCTTTGGCGTGATGTTCTCTTGGGTCAGTCACTCTGCAGACTCCCCAAATCTGCCACATTCCAAACCAAGTGTGTAAACGCACGTGTTTGCCCATTAACACGGCACAGCTTCTTCTGAACCAATGATTTTTCTCAGCCTGAACACACCACACATCTTGTACCCGAGTATTTTTGCCTCTTGGCTGTGGAACTGAAAACCTAAAGCCACATTTGTCACTCACCTGCCATCAGAGAACACAAAACGAAGACGAAGAGCTCACACCTGTTTCAGGGTTTACCGTGGGCCAAGCTTGGAACTAGGCACTTGGTTTGTATGAACTCACTTCAAGCTTACCACAAGCCTCAAGATAGGTGCTATTATTACCCTCAGGGAGCAGAGAAGGACCCAGGAACGCAAGCTGGCTGCAGGGTTTCCTCAAGGTCATACAACTAGGGAGTAGCAGAGCGGCCCCCGCCCCACCGGAGTCTGCTCCCTGGCTTTGCTCCCTACCACCCCTCTTCAACACCATCTCTCACTGCCAGATGCTAGCCTGATCTTCATTCGATTCCCAATTCTTCTTTTCCTTGGTGTGGCAAATAGTTAGAAAGGGGCTCCGGGGAATCGCACCTCAGACCCCTTCAACCAGACGCTGACTGGCCTGGACCAAGAGAAAGGGGAGGCGGGGGGTATAGCGTGTCCCTTCCAGGCCTAGGCCTTTAGGGGCCTTGCAGCCTCACCTTCCACCTTCTTAGAAGCTGCCCTGAGAACAGCACAGAAGGAAGCCAGGCCAGCCCACCGGAAGATGAAAGGCACAGAAGAAAACAGGAGTCACTCGGTCTGCAGCCAGCCCAACCGCCAGAGGCGTGCCCTTGGCCATCTTGGCCACCCAATCCCATGGACCCTCCAGCTGGATGAGTCCAGGAGTGAGTTCAGACAGAGCCAGTCAGGGAAACACGCAGCCAATCCACAGAAACATGATAAATTAAAGGATAAATTATTTTTGCCGTCTGCCATTTAAGTTTTAGGGTGGATTGTTACACAGCAGTAGCATGTGAAACAACTTGACTTGCTCAACTCCACATTGATCAATTTACTCCTTATACAAGGACTTTTAGAGCCTCTCACACCCTTTTCAATTGATCAATAGTAGCTCAATCAATGGGTTATTCCTCCAGTGCTTCCTCAGAGGTCATGCAAATATAAATCAGAATGTACCAAGGGGCAAAACTCATTCTGTATCTGAGGAGACAGAAGCCAGTCCCCTCCGCAGGGCTGCTGTCACCCTCTGCCCTTCTGGGTCACCTCCCAAAGGAACCTTAAAATTCACAACTATCCATTTTCCCAAGTACCAAGAAGTCACCTTGCAGTCACGCGAGACAAGTGGTCTCCTTCACGGGTCTCTTCCTGACCTCTGGTTCAGAGAGGGAGTTGCCCAGAAGGGGATGTCCCTGCTTTATAACATTCTGTCCCTGCTTCAGAAACTTCAGGGAAGGATGACAACATCAGAAGGTTTGGCCTGATGGTGAGGAGAAGGGCCAGGCCCATCTGCAAACGCTTGACAGAGAGGGGAGCAGTCGGGGCCGGCCAGGGGGGGGGGGGAGAAAGGAAAACCCCCTCCCCCACTCCCCCCCCCCCCCCCCCCCCCCCCCCGCCCCACGATCCAGTGCCAGGATGGTACGGAAGAGAGAC